GTACTGAATACAACACAGACTTAATTATATATCTAAATAGACGCCGCAAGTGTACTTATTTCGCGTGCCCAGTGTAAGCTGTAAACGCTTAGTTGCCACAGCTACGCTTCAGGGGGCCTACCATAACTTGTCCAAAAACAATCTTATTCAATGTAAGCTTAAAGTAAGCTTATTATAATATTATTCCTATTCGTTCCATGACAAACCTGTCAACCAAGTAATGTATTATTGCTAAAGTGATTGAAAGAACGAATAATTTTTTAATATTGTCTATTCCTTACTAAAAATAGGAAAGAAATAACGCTATATGAACTATATAATGCCATCTCTTCCTTTTTTGGTGTTTCGAATAGTCTTCTCGTAGTATAATGTTTAAGTACTTAAAGTTATTTACATTCAGCAAATTTTAACTGTTAAAAAAGCAAAGTATGTAATAATAAAATCAATTAAAATTACGTTGTTTTCAATTATTTTTCCGCATTTTCATGAAAAAATCTGAGTCTTGATAGTCACGTTGTGAATTCGGAATTATAGTCTAGTGTCAACTGTTGTAATAGTGTCGCCAAGGAGCATATAGATGTCATAATTTTACGAAATAAACATAGCATATTTTTTTTATTTTTTTTTTAAATTTATTTATTGTATAAAGGACAAAATACACAAATATGTTTCTAATCGCATTTAACGGGAAATGGTTTCCTATGTACTATTAAATAAAAAATAAACAAAATATTGAAGAGATTTATGTAAATAAATAAGTTCAACTTAACTTTTAATAATTACAAATCAATATCCTTCAATAAATACGAAAATAATATTGTTTCCAATGCGTCCGAGTAACTATTTTAAGATCGCTAAATTTGACATAAGAACAATATTACTTTAATGTTAAACAGTACAGGGTCATGAGCACGTTATGCTTTACACTGAAGACTTAAATCCAACTCTATGCCGCTTACCATAAGAACGGTCCAAAGTACAAAGTGTCAAACTTGATGTGCTCTTGACTGTACGAACTGAGTGAATGAATAGTCACAAAGCTGCCAATAAAACATCATAGTTGTAACATTACAAATAAGCTTACTTTAAGCGCGTCATGGTACGAAAAGTCAATGTAAGGTTAAAGTAATATTGTTTTAAGAGGTTGTGGTAGGCCCCCAGGATGCGCCCGATCGTTATCGTAGTTAAACATCAGACGAAAACGCGAAAAATGCCTTGTGCCATTATAAACTGCAAAAATACCGCAGCTATGAATAGACGAATAAACAGGGACGTTTTCACACTTAACTACTTTTATAATCAGAATATGCATAATTTATTTTAAAATCAATTGTTTTCATTTTAAATGAATTTCGAGAAAAAATATGCAACGAGTGTATGCCACATATTCGTAATACATCGCGGCTTATACTTGGTGCAGTACATTTGTGGTCTTTCTTTAGTAGGCCATGAATATTGAATGAGCGATGCTTCGTATAATGCATTCAGCCTTCGTTATGTTTCTGGTCAAATTTTACGATTAGTGATGTTCACTTCATGCAACACAGTTTTCGATTCTGATCGATTGTGGAACCAAAGGGATGCTAATTCTTAATTCCTCAGATAATGTTAAAAAATATTTTGTAAAGTTTGTTGTTGTTTTGTTTTTAGTTTTCCGCAGCAACTTTTTTTTAAAACATGGATTAGTAAAGGATTTAATTATCTTATTCTGGTATTATTTTACTATATTGACATTGCACGGCTTCTTATGATCAACAAATACTTGGAAGAAAAATCATTGTTCTAAATACGTGCTGCGTCCGCGTCGTCGTTTTAATCAATCACTTTAGTGCCGAAGGAGGTTTTCCATCACTAAATAGCGTTTGTGACGTTATAATAGGTACAAAAAATGTGACACGCTTGTTTTCATACAGATCGCTGTATTTGCGTCTATTTAGATATATATCAGTGGTTATGCAATGTAGTCTAAGGTAGGAGTATACATAGAAGAGGATACATATGTATAAGCCTACTTTAGAATACCAACAAGCAAAGACAAAAAACAATACCTATCGCAAGACAGTAAATTACAATGTTTGTGTTGTTCAATCAGAGTGGCAGGCATCCATATAGCAGTCTTTACTTCAATCACTGATGTAGACTAAACAGACCACGTATCCGTAAATATTTTACAAATTTATATATTTCCATTTTGCGTGTACTGCTGTAAATTAATGCATAAAGTATTATTTAACCTTGTAGTTTAAAAACAAGAACAACAAAAGGTAAAATTAAATTACAAATTATTTAATGGCGTTAAATAAAGAAATATTGTTCTTATTTTATTAATATTTGTTGTGAAATAGTTTTTTCCGAAAATAATAATTATTTATCTAGTATATGCGGATACTAAAGTTATTAGTTAAATAAAAACTAGTACATTGGTATTTAAAATCGTTTTAATGTTATGAAGTGTAAGTTATTATGTTTCTACATAACAGCGCATATAACTAACTACCCAATGATTATCTTTATACATAACTACTTAACTTACATGGTATTTATTTTCTTCGCATTTTATTAGCATGTTATGAATATTATCACGGTACACTAAATCTACGCCTAAAGTAATTAAAACATATAATCCTACTCCTTATCATCCTGCTGCACGCAACCTTCTAGCCTATGGCAAGTTCTACTTTCAGAATCACGGTATGATTTTAGTTGGTCGTACACTATTTAAAAAAATGTGAACATTAAATATATCCATAGAGAAACAAACCTTCTTTTTTGGTAGATAAACTTTACCATTATGTTTCACCACTGCTACTTGTAGATATTTCTGTGAATAGTTACCCAAAAATGGAGAAGAGCATTAGTTTTTTGCCTTCCGCACCATTCGCGGAGTTAAGCTTTCATTTTATCAAGACATAAAGACCTGTATGAATGTAATGTGATTGAATACGGCGTTGGTAAAAATGCGAATATATGAATATGAATAATTCAGCGTGTTATCGGTATGGAGAGCTGCGTTCGAGTGCACTGTAAAAACGTTGTGCCGTCGCCCGCCCGCCGGAATGCAGCGCCTGATGCGTTTTTACGTAATTGTGTTCCAGCACCCACTTACTCATCCATTATCTAACTCATTTAGGTATTGACGTTTTCGTTACTTCTTGCCTCCAGTTCATGTATTGCAAATTGCGCGTCGGTATTTGGTACTGGCAAAACAAAGTACGTTTCACAAATTTTTGCCTTTGCCTATTGGACTTATTGCAAATTAGTTTTTTTAAATATAGTTTTAATAATTAATTTTAATTTAGGATTTTCGATAATTTCTATATTTTCATTATTCATTTATTTGTTTATTTGTTTTCCTATTCATTTGTAACAAAAAAATATTAGTATGATATGTCGAGTCGAAGGAATTTTTCTTTATTTTCTTTGTATTAATAAATTATAATAAAGTATAAATATCACTGTGGTAAAAAAAAATTTGAAATATAATATTTTTTTAGAATCACAACCATTACATTATTTATAAATAAATTATTAAAAATCGTGCTAACTTCTTGCAAAAAACAAAACTCATATTTGTAATTGCAGGATATTATCAATTCAAGTCTCGTCACTGGCTTCATTTAACCGATGTCAATGAATCTGTAATTAATACTAATTTCAAGTGTATCGTTTATTGTAATTCTCGTAACGTAGCATTCGATTATCATTTTTTATGAAAGCCCGCACGTCTACCAACTTTTTATGATTCGTAACACAATGATAATTTTTCTGTCAAACGGTGTTATTTTCGTCTGTAATGTGTGGATATAAGGATGTGTAACCAAGTAAATATAAGTTCGTTTATATGTAGGAATCGATTCACGACAAGTACACGGCGTTTACTCACGTTTAACACTCAATGAAATTGCATCAATCGGTTACGTGTTGCTATTACAGGCATTTTTAATTGAAGCTTTAATTTGATTTAAAATTTTCTTCTTTTATTGTTCAGCGAGCAGCTGGTTACAGTTTAATGTGATTGTTTTTGTGTAACCGATAATTTTATTTACGTAACATGCACATAGAATTTCAATTCAGAAATGTGTCTCTGCAATTTAATAATTTGTGTTTAGTTCTAACATATTGATCAGTAATCTTACTTTGTTGTGTCCATACCTATATGAAACAAATATGGATATCTTACGCTTCCAAGTATAGTTTAGAATAGATAATCCTCAGACATGAAACGCTATGGGAAAACTATTTCGAATAAGAATCTAAAATTCGACTCCAAGAGGGACGCGACGTAACGTATGAAAATTGCTCCCTGGGCATCACAGCGACAACTGAACTACATTACAACATATGAAAATGCCCTTAGAGCATGCATTGATATGTAATACAAAAGTAAAGTAACTAAGATAAGATACTTCACTTTCGGAGCGACAAAACTACAGCATTTAAAATTCATATATAATATCATCATCCTATATAAGAGCCAGGCTCTTGTCGGTACAGCCTCCTCCACTCCTAACGGTTTACGAACTCCAGCTCCTTGACCTCTTTATAGCTGCTTACTTTGATCTTCTTATTTACTTGTTCACTATATGGTAATATATGTCTTCTTCTCTTTTTTTCCTTCTACATATCCCTTAATTACAATTATCATAAATTCGTTATTAAGTATAACAAATATCCAACCATTTTCCCCCGTCTGTTCTCTACATACATATATGGATCTCCACCTACTAACCTCCTTCGTCTCCTCTACTCCTAACAGTCTCTTTATATATACATATAAAGAGACTATCTTGATTCTTTTAACCCGAACTTTTTTAAGGACATCCTCAATCTGAATGAGATATGTACGCCGAGGTCTACCTCTACCGTGTTTAAAATATTTCTTAATCCCATAACCCATAACCAACCCTTTTTAAACACCTCCAATACTCCAAAAACCAGTTCCTTAATAATAAGTACCTTGGCAGAACTATGTTTCTATAGCAGATATTTTTTTGGTGCAGGTACTCTTCGACCGCCGGGCCTAATAGGTGGAAGTAAGCCGAAAGTTGCTACCCCAGCCGTGGTGTCTAAAATAGAGCAGTACAAGAGAGAAAACCCTACCATCTTTGCTTGGGAAATCAGAGAGAGACTTATTTCTGAAGGTAAGTTAAATTTTGAACAATATTTGTATAACCGACTTCGGCAAACTAGAGTAAAACCTTTTTACGATTGATTTTGTTAAGTCTCCTAATCTTTCCATCCATGTAGTAGCGGTAGAGCTCCTTGTGTAAGAGTTCATCCACGGAAGTACTGCCACCTTATATATTTCTGCTGTCAAGCAGTCATGTCAGCATTACTGTGTTCTGGTTTTAAAGGGTAAGGGTGCTGGTGAAATTACAGGCACGTGTGACTTGTTAGCTTATGTCTCAGGGTGACGGGCGAAGTGGCAGTGCCCCTTAGATCTTTGCGATTTAAAGATCTAAGTGGCACTGCAACTGTTGGGGACAGGTGTGTAGCTGACCATCAGGCGCAGGACTTGTTCGTCCTGTCACTTGCTACAACGTAAGACCTGAGTTCACAAAAAACATCGCTCATTTGCAAAATTGTATAAACAAGTAAAACACAACATTGTAATATAATAAAAGTAGAACAAATTAATAGAAACAATCATCAGCTCAGTCTTCATCAATTCTTCATCAATCAGTTCGATCTTTGTATTAATAATTATAACAATCATTCAAAATAAAAAATAATAATAAGTCGGATACATTCATACTTTTTTCTTTAAGATGTCTCCTAGGGCATCACCCTATAGTCCAATACTTACCAATATAATAACTTGGTTAAATTGTAGTATACACAAAAGGGTTGGGTTATCTTAAATGTCTCCCGCGTCGCAAAAGCAATCGCCGTCAGCGATCACGACATAACAACGACACGTGCACGTTTCAAGACGCATACATTGCTTTAAGACGGATGTTTGTAGGAACCTGCCGTGATTGATTTCGAAATTTATTATGAGTAGTTTGTGCTTTTATGTACGTAGATGTTACATTAATATTTACTTTTTAGGAGCAGTAGAGCTCCTTGAACTCTTTCACAGTTCGTCCAGGGAAGTACTGCCGCCAAACCGTAACAGCATTACTGTGTTACGGTTTTGAAGGGTAAGGGTGCTGGTGAAATTATAGGCACACGGGACTTGTCAACTTAATGTCTCAGGGTGACGGGCGCAGTGGCAGTGCCCTTCAGATCTTTGCGATTTAAAGCTCAGAATGACACAGCAACTGTTATGGACAGTTGTGTAGCTTACTATCAGGCGCAGGAATTGTTCGTCCCGTCACTTGATATTATAAAAAAAAAACTTTATATATTGATCTACCTAAAGTAACAAATCATAAATGTGTATTATTTGCAGACGACTTATT